TCTCTGGTGAATAGCGAGCTGTACAGGTCTGGTGAATAGTGAGTTGTACAGGTCTGGTGAATAGCGAGTTGTACAGGTCTCTGGAGAATAGTGAGTTGTACAGGTCTGGTGAATAGCGAGTTGTACAGGTCTCTGGAGAATAGTGTGTTGTACAGGTCTCTGGTGAATAGCAAGTAGCGTAGGTGTCTATTGATTAGCATGTAGTACGTGTCTCTAGTGAATAGCGAGTAGTATGTGTCTGGTGAATAACGAGTTGCTTGTGTCTCTGGTGAATATCGAGTTGTACGTGCCTCTGGTGAATATCGAGTTGCATAGGTCTCTGGTGAATAGCAAGTAGCGTAGGTGTCTATTGATTAGCATGTAGTACGTGTCTCTCGTGAATAGCGAGTAGTATGTGTCTCTGGTGAATAAAGAGTTGTTTCTGTCTCTGGTGAATAGCGTGTAGTATATTCTACTATTCTGGTGGTAGGTCACGTTTCTGGTGAATAGTGTGCAGTACGTGCCTCTGGTGAACAGTGAGTTGTACAGGTCTCTGGTGAATAGTGAGTTGTACAGGTCTCTGTGAATAGTGAAGGTCTCTGGTGAATAGTGAGTTGTACAGGTCTCTGGTGAATAGCGAGTTGTACAGGTCTCTGGTGAATAGTGAGTTGTACAGGTCTCTGGTGAATAACGAGTTGTACAGGTCTGGTGAATAGCGAGTTGTACAGGTCTCTGGTGAATAGCGAGTTGCTTGTGTCCCTGGAGAATAGCGAGTAGTATATTCTACTATTCTGGTAGTAGGTCACGTTTCTGGTGAATAGTGTGTAGTACGTGCCTCTGGTGAATAGTGAGTTGTACGTGTATCTGGTGAATAGTGAGTTGTACAGGTCTCTGGTGAATAGCGAAGGTCTCTGGTGAATAGCAAGTTGTACAGGTCTCTGGTGAATAGTGAGTTGTACAGGTCTCTGGTGAATAGCTAGTAGGTCACGTTTCTGGTGAATAGCGATTTGTACAGGTCTCAGGTGAATAGTGAGTTTTACCGGTCTCTGGTGAATAGCGAGTTGTACTGGTCTCTTGTGAATATCGATTTGTACAGGTCTCTGGTGAATAGTGTGTTGTACAGGTCTCTGGTGAATAGCGAGTTGTACAGGTCTCTGGTGAATAACGAGTTGTACAGGTCTGGTGAATAGCGAGTTGTACAGGTCTCTGGTGAATAGCGAGTTGTACAGGTCTTTGGTGAATATCGAGTTGTACAGGTCTCTTGTGAATATCGAGTTGTACATGTCTTTGGTGAATAGCGAGTTGTACGTGCCTCTGGTGAATAGCGAGTTGCACAGATCTCTGGTGAATAGCAAGTAGCGTAGGTGTCTATTGATTAGCATGTAGTAAGTGTCTCTTGTGAATAGCGAGTAGTATGTGTCTCTGGTGAATAACGAGTTGTTTCTGTCTCTGGTGAATAGCGTGTTGTATGTGTGCCTGGAGAATAGCGATTAGCACACGTCTCTGATGAATAGCGAGTAGTATATTCTACTATTCTGGTATTAGGTCACGTTTCTGGTGAATAGTGTGTAGTACGTGTCTCTGGTGAATAGCGAGTTGTACAGGTCTCTGGTGAATAGTGAGTTGTACAGGTCTCTTGTGAATAGTGAGTTGTACAGGTCTCTAGTGAATAGTGTGTTGTACAGGTCTCTGGTGAATAGTGAGTTGTACAGGTCTCTGGTGAATAGTGAGTTGTACAGGTCTCTGGTGAATAGTGTGTTGTACAGGTCTCTGGTGAATAGTGTGTTGTACAGGTCTCTGGTGAATAGTGAGTTGTACAGGTCTCTGGTGAATAGTGAGCTGTACAGGTCTCTGGTGAATAGTGAGTTGTACATGTCTCTGGTGAATAGGGAGTTGTACAGGTCTCTGGTGAATAGTGAGTTGTACAGGTCTCTGGTGAATAGTGTGTTGTACAGGTCTCTGGTGAATAGCGAGCTGTACAGGTCTGGTGAATAGTGAGTTGTACAGGTCTGGTGAATAGCGAGTTGTACAGGTCTCTGGTGAATAGCGAGTTGTACAGGTCTCTGGTGAATAGTGAGTTGTACAGGTCTCTGGTGAATAGTGTGTTGTACAGGTCTCTGGAGAATAGCGAGCTGTACAGGTCTCTGGTGAATAGTGTGTTGTACCTCTCTCTGGTGAATAGTGAGTTGTACAGGTCTCTGGAGAATAGTGAGTTGTACAGGTCTCTGGTGAATAGTGTGTTGTACAGGTCTCGGGTGAATAGTGAGTTGTACAGGTCTCTGGTGAATCGTGAGTTGTACAGGTCTCTTGTGAATTGTGAGTTGTACAGGTCTCTGGAGAATAGTGAGTTGTACAGGTCTCTGGAGAATAGCGAGTTGTACAGGTCTCTGGTGACCTACTATTCTGGTGAATAGCAAGTAAACATATCTGTTAACATAGAGACATATCTCTGATAAATAGCGAGCTGTAAAGGTGTGCGCTGATATCGACCAGTTCCTGTCTCTCCTTCGATAACGAAGTTGTTCTGCTCAGGAGGAAATTAAAAACGTTCACATTGAATCATAATGACTTTAGCACTTCCTTTTTGAGTGACACAGCAAGTTAAAACAATGAGTGGGCCTGTTATGTTCTCACGAATAGTATAGAAAGGGTATCTTGTGTTGACTAAAACTCTAGGAGAGGCTGGGGAGCTGTATTTAACACTGCTTTTAACAGTATACGTCTGGGATATCATGATGCGGAAGGAACCCTCAAACGTGACCCTAGTCAAGGAGGGGTGTGTGTGTGTGTGTGTGTGTGTGTGTGTGTGTGTGGTGTTCCCCGTCGGGATATTGCTATAATATTGCTCAATGCTGCGTAAAACTATTCACTCACTTACTCACCTTGTCAAAGGTGTTTAGCACCGATATTGGGGTGACAAACCAAGATTTAATCAGATCGAACCTGGGCTCCGAACCAAAGATTAGCGGATCCTGGTATAACGTAAGGACGCAACTCTGCACCAACTGCTTCGGTGCATTTGTCGACCAGGTTTCGAATTTCATGCAAAGTATCAACTCAATCACTCACGCCCATACGAAGACCATTACGAAGCTAAAAGGCTTACCCATTTATTTACAGTAATTTGACATCATTTACATAAACACAGTTTCATATTAAAAAAGACAATTCCTGATCCGTTTCAACCATCCCTGTTACATTTTAGATAAAACTATATTAGTTTCATGTTGAACTCTCACGATCCATGGGTAGATTATCTTCAGTACCCTTTAACTCCACTGGATGACCGTGGGATTAGAACCTGTATTTCAGATAAACGGTTTTCACCCATTTTAACAGATATACAAGGCGAATGTTGAATATCCTTTCATGCCCAGTTGTTTGTCTCCGTTATTCTATGATAAATTACCTGGGCCCAATCACCATGACAGCCTCGTTCTGGTGACGTCAACTTGGCCATCTTTCGTATCCCTAACTTATCACAGAGATTCGCTCACTATTGAGATCGCACAAGTTTGATCCGAATGACAGAGAGCTACATGACCACAGCCGTCCAATCCAATACAAAGCTCTTTAATCAGCGGAACTCGATGAGATATCATTTGTACTCGATGTGACATTTTTCCTACCGTCTTATTTTTAATGATAATTTTCTATAGTATGCATCGTCCTGACTTCAGGTGAAACTGACAGTCTACCAAACCACGAGGACGATACCATGCTGGAACGTCTGGTAGGATGATGATATTTCTGCCAAACTATATACCACATCCGTTTACAAATAAAAACTCATTTTTAAAAAGGCTTGTTCGATTAAATGTATTCAAGACTCACTCGCTCTTAATCATGAATGTAGGTCTATGCTTAAGTCTTGCAGGAGATCACTTTGATTGGTTGTTGATTTGAAGGACACACACGTGTGCACACACACGTCCCTGTGTAACTGTGTAAGTCAAATAAACCTGTACCCGTGAAGATCCGGGTTAGAATTGGTCTTCAGTAACCCATGCTTTTCGTAAGAGGCGACTAACGGGTGGTCAGGCTCGCTGACTTGGTTGATACATGACATCGTATCCCAATTGCGAAATCGATGTTCATGATGTTAATCACTAGATTGTCTGGTCCAGACTCGATTATTTACAGACCGCCGCAATGTAGCTGGAATATTGCTGATCACGGCGTTAATCAACAAACCAACCAATCGCGTACAGCTAAACAGGAGGGTTAACTTTGTGTCACCGCACCTGTAATAAGATAGTGAAACGAGAAACAGTACATATCAGTAAGACCCTGGGTTATCGAGGATGTGTTTTCTACAGAGATCTTTTTTCAATCCAATCAGCTCAACAGAACACAGGTCCAGTAGGAAATTAAAAAAAAATCCGAGCCGTTAAGTATACAAGAGCGAGGGTCGATAAAGAACAAGATTAGGGGGATTTTAAGATTAAATGTCGAATGTTTGTGTGATCGATGCAGCAAGCGTGGAGAAACATTCCGCTAAACACCACCTCGTTGGTGAAAAAAAGTGTTCTTCACTTGGAAAATGGTAAATCAATGTAAAGTTTGCGTGCCAGCTGTCTCAGGGGTACTACATATTACTTGGGGGATAATACCCTGTAACACGAGACGTTTTCAGGAACACTTGTAAAACAAAGATGTATTTGGAAATAGAAACACGAAAAACTGGCGCCCAACGGACACTCGATCCTTATAACAATGAATAAATCTTTCAATTTCAGAATCAATACCGACAAACTTAACTAAATGAAAGGATCTCACTGTGAATTATCCTGTTTAGAACTTTAACTGGGCCCACTTGCACAAAGATACCTTAACGTTTAACAGACGAGGCTAATATGAGTCACTATCGAGCTAAGATCGCTCCATAGAACCGAGGTCGGGAACGTTTGGTTCAACTAGGATCTGAAGGCTTCTACCAGCTTAATCAAAAGCAATACCCCCTTCAAATGTGCTTTCGGCTGAATGTTTTTATTTTACGACAAATGAGAAAAGAATTGTTCTTATCTATGTATCTATGCTTTCACTTTAATCCCTGAATTCTGATGATTAACATGGCGGATTTGACTAGATCACGCGGAGTCTGTTTTCACGTTGTTGTAAACACTTCGATAGGATGGGTGTGGATACCATACCCGTCTCACACGGTGACCGTTTAGAAGATTCCTTTTCCCCATCTTGTAACCCCCGAGGACTCCCCCGAACACTCGTTTCCTTTCACGAGGGTCTTCCCTGTAGTTGTCGTAAATTTGTCCGCCTGTCACGTAGTTTTCCGGCAGCTCTTCCGGTACACGTTTACCGAACTTGTAGTTGTTGAGCACGCTTCCAAACAGCCGTTTCTGGTATTCATTCATGAACTCATACGGGATGAACTCTCTCTTGCCGAGCTTGTATCCACCAAGGACGTTTCCATACAAGCCTCGTTTTGATTTGGCAGCTAAAACGAGGCGAGTGTACATATTTCGCAGAGCTTGCTCCCTGTCGATGTCCATTTCAGGATCCTCGGCTGTTTCTTGAGGTTGCGGGCGAGACGTTTTATCGTGTACATACCCGTTCCCAATAACCCGCCTGATCTCATGTCCTACTGCATCCCAAGTGCTCTCGAGTGGCTGTACCGGCGTATTACTGTACCCGCCATTTTGAAAAGTTGCAAGGTCAAGGTTGGATTTGACGTCATTCGGATCGCTTTCCCCGTTGCTGGTTGGGTCCTCGAGGGCGTATTGTAAATCTGAAAATGAGAGACCATATAGCACCATTAGCGTTTTCAAAAATTTGGAAATTGATTTTGAAGTTTACGTCGACATGTGGATCGTTCGTATGGAAGCATCTTCAGAACCGCGTGTGTGCGTGCGTGCGTGCGTGCGTGTGTGCTCGTGTGTAATATTGGATTGCCAACTCGAGCTGCTGTTAGTGTGTATTTGTAAGAGTGAGTGTGTGAGTTTGGTTTTGCGCCGCTTTTAGCAATATTCCAGCAATATCACGGCGGGGCACACCAGAAATGGGCTTCGCACATTGTACCCATGTGGGGAATCGAACCCGGGCCTTCGGCGTTACGAGCGAACGCTTTAACCACTGGGCTACCCCGCCGCCCCGTATTTGTAAGAGGGGGTGGGGTGCCTGCGTGTATTGGTGTGCATTAACTTTGTGATATTCTTTTGGACTTCCGATTGATAACATTTGGGGTAGACCAACCCAGCGAGCATTAACCACCCGATCCCGTTAGTCGCCTCTTTCGACAAGCATGTGGTACTGAAGATTCTAACCCTGACCTTCACGGGTTGGTTATTTAGAAAAACAAAGCATGAAATCCTTCTTTTTTGTAAGATAAGATGGACTAATCTCTCCTCTTTCCGTGAAAATGTTCTTCCTAACAAAATATTCATTCCTCACTGAGACTCTAAAACCAGAGTGTAGGTTGAGTGTGAGGTCTTTATCAAGATATGCAATAATAGGATGTTTACGCTGTTAAACAACCGCTGTTTCGTAAAGATTCGAACCCGACCCGCGCATGACAAAAACAACTGCCCCTGACAATGGGATGGGACATCCGCAATTCACCGATCATGATACTGCATGGGACTTAGCTGATATAATAAATTTGCCTTCACAGACAGTCAACAGAATAAAATATCTTTCCCATACTGTATAATCGATTTCGTCGTGTTACGAGGACCTGTGTTACAAGGGCCTGTGTTTGTCGTCCACCTTTGTCGTGGCGCAGTGACATAAATCAGCCGTCCCATAAACGGAATTGTTCCGCTGTGCTGGAGAAAGCATTGTGTGCTCTATGTCTAAATATGTACTCGGAACAACGGGCGCTGACACACCCGAAGGATCAATCGTGTATGCGTGTTGCGCGAGGGCGGCTCTATTCCCATAGGGGCTACTTATAGACTACCCAGTAATGCGATCATATTTTAGGATTTGAGATAATTGTTTTCTGTTTAATTTATTATAGATTGTACGACACCTGAATAGAATTGCGTCAGGCGTGGTTTCTAAAGACTGGTGGGCATAAGAAACTGTATAACCTATGTTTGATGGTGGCTCAATAAGGTTGATGGTGATGAGTATGAGAGAGAGAGAGAGAGAGAGAGAGAGAGAGAGAGAGAGAGAGAGAGAGAGAGAGAGAGAGAGAGAGAGAGAGAGAGAGAGAGAGAGAGAGAGAGAGAGAGAGAGAGAGAGAGAGAGAGAGAGAGAGAGAGAGAGAGAGAGAGAGAATTTACTCGTTTCTAATGATCCTCTTCTCCATCTATCTGTATATTCCTGAATCCGAACATATCACCTGTAAATATTGCATCATGATGCAATCTACAATATTGATGTGTAGCACTCTGACGGTGTATGTCAGGTTGACATTTAAGAAGTAGTTGATGAGGATTAAGAATGAGTGGGTATGGTTTTTAGCAATATTCCAGCAACATCACGGGGGACACCAGGAACCGGCTTTACACATTGTACCCATGTGGGGAATCGAACCCGGGTTTTGGAAGTGACAAGCGAACGCTTTAACCATTAGGCTACCTGACCGCCCGACAAGCATAGGTTTCTGGGGACCTGTATCAACACAGGCAGTTTCAGAAACATTTCCGCAAAATAGGGAGTGCGTGACCACCCTCGATTATCCAGCTTATCATACCAGGTGTCTATATCCTATTCTCCTAAATACCCTAGTCCCATTCTCCTAAATACCCTAGTCCCCTTCGTTTGTAGTCTAGAACGAGTGACACGACAACCATGTATCAGGCAGCAATGTATCCAAGGTAAATCACACAAGACTGGTTACAACACGTTCAGGATTCAAACACAAGAGCTTTTCCCAAGGTGGGGCGGTGGGGTAGCCTAGTGGTAAAAGCGTTCGCTCGTCACGCCGAAGATCCCAGTTCGATTCCCCACATGGATACAATACGTGAAGCCCATTTCTGGTGTCCCCCGCCGTGATATTGCTGGAATATTGCTAAAAGCGGCGTAAAACCAAACTCAGTCAGTCAGTCAGTCAGTGAACAACATTCGCGGCTTATCTGATCCACGCTGAAGCCTTCTAAACTTGCCCATGCCTAAATCCGGAAGCCATATGCATATCAGTCGCTCATTGTATTAATTCAACTTCCCATTGATTACTGTCGGAGATAGAGAAATTCGTGACCAGGGGTTTGTTGCTAACAGTTTTTGAAACCACAAGGGGTTCGTCTGCGAGCGATAAAAGGGGTTTCATCTGTTTAAAGAGCTCTGCGTGGGAGAGACCGTAATTCACTTAGCATGTAGGAAGTCACAGTGAAAGATCCCAGTCATCTTCTACAAACAGCTGTGCCTGTGGGTATCTCTATGGTGATGCTGATATTCCGACTTTCAGTTCATTATTTTCCTCTGGAGGGAAACCGATTCGTGTGAGTAATTTTGGCTTGGTAAAAATATCATTTGAAATTCACTTTCAAACGATTCGAAGTAGCAATATACTTATGTAAAGAAATAAGAGAACGGTTCAGCACATCCTGCAGTGTGTTATATAACAGGGTGAGTGAATACTATTTAACGCCGCTTCGAGCATTATTCTAGTTATATCACGTGTCAGAACTAATGTGGAAAAGGTGAGTGAGTGTAGTTTTACGCCGCTTTTGGAAATATTCCAGTATTATCACGGAGGGGACACCAGAAACGGGCTTCACACATTGTACCCATGTGGGGAATCGAACCGGGGGTTTCGAAGTGACAAGCGAACCGTTTAACCACTAGGCTACCCCACCGCCCTACTGTGGAATAGAACCTGAGGCGATGCAGGTTTCAGATGTTGCAAACTTTGGTGAAACCCACCAGCACACAAACCTAGAAATATCATCGAGACGAAACGGGATTCGAACCCACCTTCACATGTTTGGGCGTGTCCAAGGGAAGCAACTCTGTACAAGAAATATCGGAGCCTTAAACGACTGTACAACCGTAAACGCCTTCATTTCGGAAGTGACGTCATATCTTTATCTCGTCTGTTACCAATCCAGAATATCGTCCTGGCCAGGTTTAATTGGGTTGAAATTTTTGGCGCTTTGCCATTCGAAAAGGGATCGTAATGTAGGTGTGGTACCGCAAGATCAAGACCATTTATCAAGACAGAGTGTAGATATACAATCTATGGTTGACCACATGAACCGCGTTTAGTAGCTAAGTGGATATAGGGTCACTATTTGGAGTGAGTGAGTGAGTTTAGTTTTACGCCGCTTTTAGCAATATTCCAGCAATATCACGGCGGGGGACACCAGAAATGGGCTTAACATATTGTGCCCATGTGGGGAATCGAACCCTGGTCTTCGGCGTGACGAGCCAACGCTTTAACCACTAGGCTACCCCACCGCCCCTCACTATTTGGAGAGCAATCTATCTTTCCCTAGTTATATTCTGGAAACCATTGTTACCGAGCGACACCAAACAATCTATTATGTTCACATTAACACATGGCACATTTCGATGGCACATTTTGTACCAATCAACATTTCATGCAGTAACCTAGCAGTGGACGTGGTTTTGCTTCTTCAGACCAACCCCATATTGGGGGTAGCCTAGTGGTTAAAGCGTTCGCTCGTCACGCCGAAGACCGAGGTTCGAAACCCCACATGGGTACAGGGGCGGATACAGCTTTTTAGAAGGGGCATACTATTGAGAAAAGGGAGGATGCACATGTCATTTTCATCCGAGTTTCAATGGTCATTTAATAAACTTTCAGGACAAAAGAGGGGGTGCGCACCCCTGCACCCCCCTTCTGGATCCGCCTATGGGGTACGATGTGTGAAGCCCATTTCTGGTGTCCCCCACGTGATGTTGCTGAATTATTGCTTTAAAGCGGCGTAAAATGAAACTCACTCATCATTATGAGTATCAACCGTGATGGAATATCACACTTCTAACAAAGTGACAACTAATCACTCTCCGTTGCACATGTTTACATTAATACATGTAATGTAATATGATTTGAAAATAATAGAGTTAGTAACAAAAAGAACATTCAAACGAACTCTTCATTTTGTACCATTTCAGAAAAAAACACCTATTTCGGGCATAATTCTGAATAAAGTAAGTCAGTAAAGTAATCAAATAGTCAAGCCCCCCCCCCTTCTCTTCCCTACCCCCGAAAGGAAATCAAATTTATGATGCTCCCCGTGTCAAATCCGTTACAATGCAACAACATGTGATAAATGCCCCTTACGCACTAGATAAATGCCCCTTACACACTAGATAAATGCCCCTTACACACTAGATAATGAACACCTACAATCTAATTCCTTGCGTATCTGTTGTCTAAAAAACCGTCTATGTAACAACAGACAATCACCAGCTACACTCGTCTTTTGTTGCCAAAACAAGGATTTGTTTCGCAATATAGAATTAAAAATCAAATAACCATCATCTCCCATTGACGTATCCGCTTTCCTCGTTGAATGTATATCCAGGTTCTTCTCGCGTGTTCACGTGTGTTCTCGCAGTAACCACAGATATCTAAAGTTCAGAAATGTTACTTTTCTGGATTGCTATTTAGAGGAGATGTTATTCTCAACCATACACATCCATGAAAAGACGCCTCAACGTAAATGCCATCAAACGTGAAATAAATATTAAATGAAATGTGAAAGGTAAAATGGAACCAAATACTGGAGGCATTATTGATGCTGTTTTCAATTCTTTTTCCGTGAGAGTAAAATATTTTAAGCACAGTAAACTGAGTGAATGGATAAACCTGAT